TTTACTAATAAAGAAAGCTACGTGAAGTATCTATTTTTCATTGCAAAACTAAAATTTCAAAGCTAACCTGCTGAAAACTATACTTTTATCTCTTCATATACTATACTTTAACAACTTCTGATATCCAGAATAACTGATATCTATCAACAAAACAAACTTACCTATGTTAATATGGCACATCTATAACTGTAGATCTAAAATAAAGATTTAAAAATTTTAATCTGAAGACTCTTCACCTTTACCATCACTTATGCTTTCTCCAGTACTCCCTTGATACTCAGTTCTATAATATTTCTTTCTCCATGGGTAGTTAAAAAAAAACAAACTCAAATGAACAAAAAAATCACAAAGACAAACATGTTATCATTACTTTGAAAGAGTAAATCTAGATTAGAAGAAAGGAGTATAATGGGAAACCTCAGAAAGTAGAGGAATTAGGTCACCTCATTTAGAAAGACTACGCCAGGGCTTCATTCCTAATGTCCCAATGTAAAAACAGATCCCCTCTGCAGCTCTGTCTTGACATTCTGTAGTTTCATCATAAAGCTCCACTATAAGAAAAACTAATCTAATCACATGAAGAGGCCCTGTCATGCAAAAATCGACTACGCTCTTACTAAAGTTATTACATATTTTCTTTGAAATAACTCACATAGGACCAAAATAAAATTTCTAATGGGTGGTGCACATGCTGAGTAATAACTGCACACCTAATGTATTTGAATGGAAAAGCAAACTAAATAGAGATATGTAGTCATTTTAAGTTGTACACAATGCACACACCCTGTTGTATTCAATTGCCAAACTAAGTGACAGCTAATGTTTGTACTTTTAAAAGTGCTACAATAAAAGGTAAAATAAGAATCAATGGGTGTTTCCTTTTGACTATTTTTTTTCCACCTGATAATCAGTCTTTATATGCTTCATATGAGTAAAGAAAGTATGTTTAATGGCTGAATCAATTATATGAAGTTATATAAACAACTGGAATTCCATCTTTTTTGAAGCTATATACATATAGAGAGATATATTTTCAAAATTGCTTAAGATAGTACACCAGCTAATATCCATATCAGGAAATAACATCTAACAAATTTACCACATAGGATCTACATGGGATCAAAGGATGTAGCTAGAAAGAACCTTAAAAGGTTGCTTGAGGAAAGTGCTTTATAAACTCTAAGGTGCTACATATTTACATGACATAAATATTACATATATTGTGCGTTTTCACTATTAAGTAACAAAAGTCATATTCTTATGTCTTCAAGAATCAATCTTTTAATTTACTTATATGCATACACATTACAAATAATTACTACTATTACGATAACACTTTAAGGTTATAAAGTGTTCTCCACACACAAAAACTCTAGATCAGGTAGTACAAGTACCTAAATGAAATTGAAGACTGTGAGTTTAAAATAAATAATTAAATGAAAAATAAAATAAGAAAATAAGAAATGGATAACCGAATCTCAGAAAGAGAAAAAAATATAAGTCGTAAAGGAACTCCCATGAAAAAAAAAAATCCTAGATCTGTATGGATTTACAGGTGAATCATGTCAAGCATTTAAAAAATAAACAATACTCTGCTATATGGTTTCAAAAACAGAGAAAGATGGCACTCTAATAAACTCCTCCTCTGAAATAGTTTAGAGTCAAAACAGCTGATCAATGGGAGGCCATATTACTACAGGAACCCAATCACTTCAATTTTGACATTCTCGCTATAATGAAATCAGAAGCCAAAAATTAGTTCATAGGTTCTCTTTGGAGAGGCAAACTAAAGTAGCTGGCAGCATTGGTTTTATCATGCACCCAAAGGCAATAAGAACCACCATTTCATAAGCCATCTTACTGTAGTGCTAATGCTGAATAGTTACAAAAATATCAAAGATACTAACTGTAGCTTATGTTTTAATATCAATTACAAAAGGTGAAGAGGCAGAAGGAATTATGAATAACTTCAATAAGATATTACTTTTTTCTTTTCTTTGTTTTTGGCAAGGCAATTGGGGTTAAGTGATTTGCCCAGAGTCACATAGCTAGTAAGTGTCAAGTGTCTGAGGCCGGATTTGAACTCACATCCTCCTGAATCCAGAGCCAATGCTCTATCCACTGTGATACCTAGCTGCCTAAAGATATTATTTCAAATTAAATAAACATATGTTTTGACACTCAATGATTTTATTGCAAAGGTATGCCCAGGAACGGATGAAGAAATATAGACTGGAAAATATGATTCAGGTGCAAGAGATGAGAGAAAACAAAGGCTTACAGATGGCAAAGAAGCATTATGCCTATATATCACACTTATATACATATATGCATACTTATACGCATACATATATACATTTTTGTCAAGAAAAGAATTAGGTGACAATGGGCATGGCAAGCATCAAATAATCTCCCCTCAAGATGAAACTGATAATATTTTAATGGACAGTAAATTCTTTGTTACTGATGTGCATACCATCTCCAGCTGATTCTGCTGTCGGGTAACTAACTTGTTACAGCAAAGATCAAAATTAACAGAAAACTAAAAGAAAGAATAAAAATGACAAAAAGGTATGGCATTCAGTTGAAATAATTCCAAATTGGCAAATTTAAACACAAAACATGAAATTAATAGAAGTGACATCAATACCAATTGCAACAAATTCCTAAAGAACTTTATCTGATCAAAAGCCATAATAAGCATCCCAACTAAGTCAAGACACTGCCTCCACCAGCAAACATTTGATTTCCTAGACAAGCTGAAAGATATAGAAGCCTATATCTATGGTTTAGAATATAAACTGATTTTTTTGTAATTCACTTTATCTTTGCTATTTTACAGTTTTGGTGCACAAATAAAGATACAATAGGGTTTATTTCATATTAATATATTAACCAGATTTTTGTTCAAATAAATAATATTTATTTAATCATCTCCTAACAATACATCCAGGCTAAGAGGAAATCAAAGCACATTATTGCATGTGGAAAAAAATCACTAATCATGAATGAAGTTCAAAGTAAAGATATGAGAGTTAAGGTGGGACTAGCTGTGGGTGCCTATACACTTAGGATAAAGCCAGGGTCTAGGAAGTGTCTGCCTACAGGGGTGCTTGACATGAACCCATCTAAGGGCCCTAAGGAAGATGGGATAACATGTCCAATCTTCAGCTCCAATCCTAAGTAACCTGGGGCAAAGGCAAAAAAACAAAACAAAACAAAACAACAAAACACATACACACAAACGAAAGAGAAAGAGACAGACAGAGAGACAGAGAGAGAGAGAGAACACTGAGACTTCCTAGAAGTATGAGTAAGGAGTACAGAGGATCAAAGCCAAGCAGTCACGTGTATGTTCTTTCTCTCCATCTGAAGTGTTCACTTTGTCATCCCCAACTTGTTCTGGACATTCCAGGGTCAAGTTCAAAAACCAAACAAGAGTGGAAGGGTCAGGAAAAGAAAAAAGTGTTTAATTAGCACAGGAGTGACACCCTCAAGGGGATGGGAAAGGGAAGAAATATTATTAAAGGGACACCACTACCTATGTTCACGGTCACAATGGAAATTTAGATTAAGCTATCATGCCACACAGCTTGGAGAGAGACTCGAGTGGAAAGGGAAAATGGGCACAGGCTGGAAGGGATCCTTGGGAAAGGAATTCAAGTCATCTTTCCAGATCTGGTAGATACATTTGCTGGTCTGAGCTTGGAGAAGACTGAATCAGGTAGAGTTCAAATAGAACAAGTGATTAATAAAAGCTGACTAGTTGATCAGGGTCCTTGAGGGGAAGCTGCATTAATGGAGAGGTGCACAGTAAATGTGAGCAGTCTACTGCACATTACAAATATGTAAACAAACAGGAGAACCAAGATAAATGATGTCATCGGGGGAAACAGATGAATGTTTTAAAAAAAAGATGAGCTGTTTAGCAAAAGCAGAGGCTGATTTAAAAAAAAAAACAAAACCCTGGCATGTTCCATTAGTACCTATACAATGTCAAAAGAATGTGAGGAAAACAGTCTCCAGGCCCACAACACACAATGCATTAACCACTTGTGGTGGCTGTGTGGGAGGACACAGATTGGAGATGCACAGAATAAAAAGGAATGGATGGCCTATAATATGTATCTCTCAAAATGGCATCTACATGAATGAATCCCAGATTCATTGGAGTAGTAGGATATTTGATTTCTTTTTAAAGTTCACATACTTTAAAGTTCATATACTGAACTTGTGATATTTTTGAGAGCAAGTATGAAGACTGAATAAAAACCCATCTATAGACAATTCCCTAATTATGAGACTATATTTCAATTTTCAAATAGAAAGAATATGGCAAGAAATGATTATGCCTAAAGACCAGCCCTCAAAAGTCTGTTTAACCCACAATGTACGTTATATATAGTCAAATGCAAATAGTGGCTTAGATAGTCTTCAAAGTCCCTTCTAACTCTAAATCTTTGATCCTGTAATCCTATCAATAGTATCAATTCAGTACTCCCAATTACCACATGTAACATTACTGCTAGAAAAAATGCATTTAGAGTTCTAAGTAGAGATGCTAATAACACATTTTTCCCTTTCAGCAATGTCAGGAAGAGTGGAACGTATTTTTTGACATCAGTAACGTGATAACTCTCTATATCTACATTTAAGGTCTTTCCCTATACAACTATAAAAGAGCAAGTCCCTGTGTATGCCTCTTTATCTATATCAAGAAGAGCGCCCCCTTAGGTCAATCACTCTCCCAAATACTATGTATCAGATAATAAAAGACAATTGCTTCATAGGTAAGGAGGGGATGGGAAAAAAAAGTTTGTGAGGTAGGTGGCCTCCAAACTGCTTTCTCCACCATCTATTCTTGTGTTCTTTATGTATAAAATTGTCCCTAAGTAAGAGACTACTTAATAGCCAATAGTAATTTTAAAGTGAATTATAC